AATTTTGGAGTTTTCACGGTGCTAATTATTCCATTTCAATGAAACTTAGTACAAAGATGCTCTAGGACAATGTACAAACCTAATTAGTTTGGGGTAAAAATCTGTTCATATTAATTCCCTAATAAGCATAATAATTCATAATTTTTTGGTTCTAATCACATTTCAATTAAACTTGGAGACATAGATTTTCTGTTACATTGCGCAGACCTCATTAGTTTTACACTCAAATCTGGTCATATTAATTTTCTGATTTGCATAATTAGTTTTCAGCTAAGTAATTTCGAATTATATTTAATGTGTCTCCAATACTCTCAGCACATGGGAGTTCTTTCTAAGCTTTCTTTGATTGCTATTTGAAGTTAGGCAGTATTCATCACTTGTGAAGTTATAAATATATAAAATTAGTATTTTAGAATTATCCATAACAAAATTTATAATAAGTTAAAGATATTTTACAAAATTGCTATAGGTGACATTGTTATTGTCTGATATCACTAATTCGACACATTTGTTGAACATTCACTTAAATTGCAGATACTAACTGATTTTCAAACATTCAATATTTTACTGGCCTAAACAAAACAAAACCCAAAAAATAAAAATAATATGGCACGTACACCACCATTTCCCTCACAAAATCACAAAACTGTACAGTTTATACAGTAGTCTGCACTTTCTTTCAGAAGATTGGGATGAAAATAACCAATTTTTTTGAGTAAAAACTGAAAATTGGCTGAAATTTATTTTGTTGGCTCCAAAATTAGGGTTCATTTCCAGAAATATGTAGAAATGGTAGCTGCAACATGTTTATTGTCATAACTAATTCATTTGTTTGATCAAATTTCTGTACTCTCAAATCTAATCATGATGATCTTTTTTCTTCTAATTAACTTGCGATTTGTTTTCATATATTGTTTATTCAGATAATGGATGATGTCGATGAGGAAAAGTTTCAAAACCTTCATGATTCTTTACATGACAAAGGCGTTAATGTCTCGGTGCATACATTAAAGAAGTAAGTTTATTTCTCATTTAGTAAAACATTTGTGTGCATCATGCTTGCAATTGTACCGTAACAGTAGAATTTGCCATTCTGTGAAACATTGTATCAGCACTCGTTCCAAAACATATCAGCACCCATTCAAATTTTCTCTTATAATATACACTATGTCACCAACATTGATTTTTTCAGGTTTATTGACGTTGCATTTCAACACAAAAAATCATCATATCCCCCTAGGTCAATACAAGAAAAAAATCATTATGACTCCCTAGGTCAATACAAGAAAGACATCGTCATAGCCCCCTAGGTCAATACAAGAAAGACATCATCATAGCCCCCTAGGTCAATACAAGAAAGACATCATCATAACCCCCTAGGTCAACATTTATTTACAATAGACCAAGGCAGAAGTGCTATAGTGTATGAGTGAATAAGCAACCTAGTCACCGAACACAGCACAAAATGTTTTTGTTGCCATTTTGAGCTATAATTTCTCATAAGTTATTACTAAAAAAAAATGTATAATGATTAGGTTATCACAAGTATTCATTCAGGCATTATGGGGTTGCATCAACTGTATTGCCTTTGTCCATACTTTGCGGCATCCTTGTGATAACCTCTTAATATCAAAAGCTATTTCTGAAAATGAATATATAGGACTTAAACTGGTAAAATGTAGAAAATTTTAAAATATTGTACAATGCTTGAAATTTTGTTGTGCAAAGGGTCCTATCAAATATAAAACAAATAAAAAGAGGTACTCAAATTGTTTCCATGGAAACAATGACATTGTAATTTCCTCATAGCATTAAGTGCTATACTGGCAGCCTTTTTGAAATGAAAATTTTTCAAAAATGCATACCAGTACAAGTTAGATGCATAGCTTTAGTGCCTATGATTTTTTCCCTGACGTTCATAGTAACCAAGTTTCATTTTATTTTTGTCTCAAAAGCTTGTCAGCCATACCCATACTTTAAGCTGATGTTTGAATACTATAATATACTTTATTTTCTCTTGAAATTAATTTTTGCTATTTTTTAAATGATTCAGTGAAAATAAAATCCAGCGAATATACCTTTTTTCCTATATTTTACATTCAACTCATCAAAATCCATGAATATCATCCAAAAAGTCTTTTCAGTGAAAATTAATTCCAGCTAAAAGTATTTTACAGTAGTTTATTTTCACTCTTTTCTTACACTAGGGGACTGATGCCACCACGTGAAAAGGGTTACACAGAGTGTCTTGCTCATCTACCAGCTAACAGTACTTCAACGTAAGTGTACAATATTGTGGATTCTCCTTGTGTCATTGTACACTGTATTTAATAGCTCTTATTAAATTTTGGTTCAAGTCATCTGTTCATGTGTGTGTGTACGTCCATCTGTCTGTCTGTCAGTCTGATTTGATTTATCTCTGGCATGCCTTGACCAAATGTGTCCAAAGTTAAAATTTGTTAAAATTTCAAGGACTGGAAGTCATTTCAATATGATTTCATTCAAACTTGGTGTTGACATCATTTATGATAGGTTACTGATGGACGTGATTTTTTCAATGTTTTCATTCAAAAGGCAAGACATAAAGGTTTGCATATGTTTTCTTCAATTGTTTTCAAGTTTGTATGAAATTTTATCCAACTGGCAGCCATTTTTACATACTTTTATAACGCGTGTCAATTTGTTTACTGTTTCGATGAATTTCCTTCTTTTTGTGTCCTCACATGTCAATTCAGCCAGTGTGGACTATGTCATCCACTCATATATTAAATAAATAATCCATGAGATTAGTTTAATTACTTTTTTTTTTCCTTTCTCAGTTTGTTAAGTCATCCTGAAGAATGGCTTGGTGAAGTTTTCCAGAGATACAAACTAGCAGAAAAAGCCCTGCGTAAGTACAAATGTACTAGTACTGTAAAGGAATTAATTATTCACTGGGTTTCAATTTTGCTTATTTCGCTGACTGGAAAATGCGCTAAATTAAAACCCAGTGAATATGTAAAATTTAGCATGGAACACATTATCTAAATGATAAAACCGTGAATTTAAAACCCACTGAATATGCCTGAATGATAAATCAGTGAAATTTAAACCCAGTATAAATTATTCATTTTACAGTATATTAATACCA